TCTCTTCTCTTCTCTTCTCTTCTCTTCTCTTCTCTTCTCTTCTCTTCTCTTCTCTTCTCTTCTCTTCTCTTCTCCTCTCCTCTCCTCTCCTCTCTTCTCTTCCCTTCCCTTCCCTTCCCTTCCCTTTCCAATATATAAGTATCTAAGCTAAACTAAGTTAAACTAAGATAAATGTCTTTTTATTACAGGAAACAGGAGGCACTGAACAGCACAGATGCAACGACTCCAGAGAGACCTTTATCTCCACCCTTTACAGCCCCACCAAGCATGAAGGTAAGGATCTACAGATTGTACAGATTATGAGGTGCGGTGGTATGTCTTCTTCTGGCTGTTTTATCTTCCACCTTAGGGAGGTAGGGGTGGGGACTACATTTCTGTTGGACCCATTTTCAAAAGAAAGGGAAATGTTCCCATCTTCTATTTGTGTCTACACCTTCATCAAGTACTTGCTTATTTAGCTCAAAGAGGATCTCTTGCTTCGTATGGCTCAGAAGTCCCAACCTCACACGGAAGATGATGGCAGGGAAATAGGAGAAGAAGCTGGCAAATAAATAATATTACATGGGGAAACTTACGGGCCCCGTTGCAGTGCATGCTGCTGCATTCTGGATCCATTGGAGTTTTCAGGTAGTCTTCAAGGGCAGCTCTTTGTAAACTGCATTGCATAATGCAAGACATGACTGTCAGCAATTGCCTCCTGGTCCAGGAAAGGGTGCAATTGGGGGCACTAGGCCAGGGATCTCCAAAATTGGCAACCTTGTGGGCCTCCTGGGTGAGACCAAAGCCAACCTTGACTCCTCCTCCAATGACTTCGCAAATTGGAAGAGAGGGTCACCCAAATTCTAGGTTTTCCAACAATGTGGACTATCCACCCAGAATGCCTTATTGCTGTCATCCTAAGAAGCAGCGAGTCCTTGATGCAGAACTTTCAGTGGGTTTTAATGAACAGACAAGCTGGTGGGGGAGCAGATGGCTTTGCTTTGGATCTAGACCAAGTTAGGCTTTTAACATAAGGGGCAGCTGAGGAAGAGTTGACAGCACCCAGCTTTTATGTCCTGGGATAGCTGCCTTACTCTGTCTACTGGTAGGGCCAGGCTGGCTGATACCAAGCACATTGCAATAATCCACCTCCTTTTTAATAGTTATTATTACTGAAAAACAACTGGGACAGGAAATGTCTCTCCAACATCATCGTGGTTCCAACTCCCATTAACGCTGGCCATCGTGCTCAGTAAGCAGGGATGAAAAGTACATGCAGATCTCTGGAAAACAGTCCAAATTCATGGTTTAATCACCCTGCTCAGATGGGTTGCCTTACTCTGTGCATCTTGGAATTAATAGAAGTCTACCATATAAACACAAACCTATTACTTTCCATTCTTAACAGTGACCTATCTGGTGTTTAGGGTAGGTTTCTACTTCAATCAGGATAAAAATATTCAGTTTATTTGTCTCCTGGATCTGGATGTCAGAAGTTATTCCCTCTAGGTATGGCAGTTCCCTACATTCCTTTCATAATGGCAAACATCCTTGTTTCTAGAAAATGCTCTAATCTCTTTTTAAAATCATCCATGTTAGCAAACCTAGTGTATTATGGCAATGAATAATTGAGTCTGTTCTAAAATTTGAACCTTAAAAATAAAGTTGGTTATAAACATATAAATATATGCAATTATTGTCTGTAATATAGAGTTCTGGCCCTAGAAACATTTTTTTTTCTATTTAGTTTCCTTCCTGATAATTTTCAGGAATCATCAAGGTATTTAAATAATTTAAAGGAGGAAAGTAGATTATATAGTGAATTTCAAGTTAAACTTTCTCTGCCTCAGAGGAGAATGCTGGTAGTGAGAGACCTAGAATAAATATAGAGTTCAAGAGTGTTGGTGTGCCTCCTGGTTGTTATTATTAATTTTCATTTTTTACACATTTGGTTTGGGTAAGAAATCATATAGATAGATAGATAGATAGATAGATAGATAGATAGATAGATAGATA